AAATTGACATGCTTGCAGCTAAGATGGATCTGCTCGCGAAGCAAGTAGAACATTATGAGAAGGTGATTTCCTAAGAGACACTCAAAGCCATGGATTCTCACATGACCTTTGAAGTCTGTGGAGATGTTGGACATTCAAGCAATTCCTGTCCTGAAACCCAAGAGGACCTCAACTTCGTCAACACCGACAATGGGTTCTGTCCACAACAACATCAAGGCTAGAATCAACGCTCCAACAAATAGGGAGGTAACAATTATTACTTTTCTCCTCGTATGAATAATCAAGGTAATAATAATTATGCTTTCCTGAAAGATCTTATTTATATGCAAAGTAGAATGACTGATAGCATTAATAAAAAGTTAAATGCTCATGACAAGATGTTGGAAAATATAAATGCTAAATTGGATGAGTTTTCTTCTATATTAAAGAATCAACTTAGTTTCAATAGGATGATAGAAACCTAAATAGATCAAATTGCTGCTGCCATCCTATCGGGTTCATAAAACTAGGGTCCCCAATGGGCCCGCTTCCCAGCAAAAGCTCGGCCCAGTAGACGGCATTACAACAAACATGTGACTCCTGGGCCTACCCAGATACCTAACGACAGGCCGGAAGAGCGATCCAATCTCCGACCGGAAGGCCTAGTTAAGGAGGGGACAACACTCGCTTCTGACTCCGACCAGCTTTTCCAACCGGGAATACACCGAACCTCTGCTTACAGCTCTTCTCCGACCGGCGTGGTCGAAGCCGACTGGGAACGACCGACCAGGGATGCCCGCTCAGTGAGGACCCAAGAATCAGGCGGAGCAGATAAGGCAAGGCGCTCAAGTTAACTGCAATGCCGAGGACCGTACCCTACACACATGCAGGACAGTACCGCCGGGCCATGCCAGAAGGGTGCTTTGTAACCTTCTAGGCATGTCAGAACCCGAACAGTGTTGTGGGCGCCGGCATTTGTCTTACAGTGTTGTGGGCGCCGGCATTTGTCTTACAGTGTTGTGGGCGCCATCATTTGCCATACCAGGCGAACACGGTAAAGCCTGCCACACGCGTCTAACATAAACAGTATTGTGGGCACTGACAACCATCTTATACCTAACAGCGTGGGCAACAAGACTTAGTAAAACACGAGCACACACTCTCTCTCACTTGTAAGGCCATCCCCTTCACCTATAAAAGGGGACGCGCTCTCTCCCAACGAAGGACGGTCATTCTGACTCTCTCTCTCTCTCTGCTAAGCTTTGGATATTCTGAGCACTCAAACAGCTCCACGGCTCTAGGACTCTAAAGCTACACAGAGCATACGTTCCAATACTTAGCGCACGTAGGAGCTTTCGTCACTCTTGGCCCTTCGGTCCAGAGCCCGACCAGACCTTTAACACTCCCTTCTTACTCCCACTCATTTGTAACCCCACAGCAAACTTCGAGCACCTAGGCTCAGGAATAAAGTCACCGTCCGACTGGAACTGGACGTAGGGCACGTTGCCTGAACCAGTATAAACCCTGTGTCATTGAGTGCTAGGCCACATCCGATTACAACGCACAACAAAACTATAAATATTTACTTGTTGGACACTTTTCGCACCGACACATCCCATCTTATAAAAAAGATAGAATTCCTGGCAAACCTGAAGGAACCATGGAGACAACCAACCTTGTTACGGCAAGGTATGACTTTTCTAAAAATGGTTAGGGATTTCCTATTAAGAAAGGTGATCCTAGGAACCCCGTCATTACTTGCTCCATAGGCCCCCACACTTTTCATATTGCCATTTGTGATCTAGGGTCTAGTATTAACATCATGTCAAAGAAAACTTATGATAGATTGTTTTATACTCTCCTAGCTTCAACCTCAGTTTACTTACAATTAGTCGACCAATCCACTTGTTATCTCGAGGGAGCAGCCACTGATTTAGTAGTTAAAGTTAGGAGTGCCTATATTCCTACAAATTTTATGATCTTAGACATGGGCAACGCCGATGATACACCTTTAATCCTTGGTCGTCCCTTCCTTAAGACTGCAAATGCTTACATATATGTGGCTTCTAAGCAAATCCAATTCCACTTTGCTGGAAGAAAAGAAATATTTGCTTTTACCTCTAGACAACCCCTCTTTGATGAGAATCAGGAAAAGAAAAAGCATCCGAAGAGAATCAAGATGAAGAAACCAAAGCCGATTGAAGAACCAGAGAAACCTGTCAAGAAGAAGAAGAATAGAAAGGAATGGCGTAAAAAGAAAGATCCATCCTCAAATTCGTCATCCCCTGATCCTAACAAGGCCTCCGAGGTGGAACAAGAGGAAACACCTCTGCCCAAGGACGAATGACCTTGAGCCCATAAAAGGTAAGTTTTCTATCCCTTGCATTTATCTACCACATTTTATTAGTTGCATCTCATTTAGATTTCCAATAAATTTGCATTGCATGATAGGTTAGTTGCATTTAAGCTACTCTATTTAATAAATAAAGTTCTGCAGTAACTAATGCATGATAAGATAGATTTGTATTTAAAACAACATATACAAAATATTTAATAATAATAATAAACAAAATTCAGTAGCATTCCTACCGAATAAGTTATCTAGTAGTAATAGGTTTAGTTATTTAGTCATTTAGTCATTTATGCATTTTAATAGTATTAGTTAGTCAATAAGGAAAAGAATTAAAAGAGCCGGCATAAGACATTCCAACATATGCAAAAGGCAAGCTTGGGGGAGATATCTCTCCCCGCTCAGGTATGAAGCTCTTAAACCCTCTCTTTATATTCATGTTTGCTTTAATTTTCAACATTCATGGTCATAGAATGTAGAGAGGAGTGCCTTAAATTTATCTTGAGAGAAACTCTGCTCTAATAAAATGATGATAAATTATTTGGAGATGATAAATAGTTGCTCTGTGATACTTTGCAAAAGCTTGTTATACAACCTTATACTTAAGTTTTGAACATGATAAACTTAGAGTTCATCTTAAGTTGAATGCTTTCGTGGATTGCAAATGCTAGAACCAAGAATAGGCTTTTGTGAGATATGTTATAGCCATGATTAGAGTAAATCTTTATCTGAGGAATGATAAAAACAACCTGAAGTTTTGTTTTATAAAATGCTAAAACTTTCTTGCTATAAGTTCCTCAATGGTGATAAATTTCTATCAGAGCCAAATAAATATTCATTCATACATGATAAAGCCACCATAAAAGCTACTTATTTGTTTTGAGCTTTTTCAAGCCTTGTTGATCTGAGTAGAGAATCTTTTCATGCTTTTTGATCAAGATCACGTACACCCACATATTTATGCTATTCCTACACTGGGGATACGCAACAACATATGCTTTCCATTCATTATTGCTCAATGAGAATTAAAGTTACCTCTCTAGCTATCTTACATAAAAAAGAGAGGCATGGGCTACAGAAAAAAATAAGAGAGAGAATAAAAGAGCAAAAGCTCTAGTGTTCAAAAAGAGAGAGAGAAAAAAGAAAAGTAGACATGTCCTCTCTCAAAAAGAAGCTAGAGAAGGGAAATTTCTCAAAGGAGTACCACTTCCACCAAATATATCACATACATGCACATCTTGATCAATTTATATGATTTCTTGCTCCTGGTGATCCAAGTGTTTGACTTAGCAATATATTCAATTCAAGTGAGCTATGATTTTACCCCCTACCTTGAGCTCCACATAAGCTTTAGGATATAAATTAAGCCTAAAATTCATGGCCTTGTTGAGGATTTCAAACACCATTAGCAGTTTGGACATATAGAGAAGTGTTGTAATGCTAATCAAGCTGAATTAGAACAAGAGCTTCCACCACCTCACCCGAAAAAAGAAAAAAAACCAAGGTAATGGAATATTTTTTGTTTTTTGTACATGCTCCAATATTGAGCCATCCATAATTGATGCTTGTCCCTCATTGAAAAAGCAAATCTGCAGCAGTTGAACCACCTCAACTGATGTCGAGCCATCCAAAACAATCGTTGAACCATCCCCAATGCCTCATTCAAGCCCAGGGGTAACCACTAGAAGGATGGCTTCTCTTTCTCCGACCAGCCCATGGGTAACCATTAGAAGGATGGCTTCTCTTTCTCCAACCAGCCCACGAGTAACAACTAGCAAAATGCGAGTAATCTCACTGGAGGAATTAATCATAGGCTCATCATTGAGTAGATGAATGACTAATGTAGTACTAAAATTTGTGTGAACTAGCAGAATGACAGAAGTCTTTTGTGTAGGCTCATCATTGAGTAGATGGAGTAATAACTACCAGAATGACAGTGGTCTTTTGTGTGAACAAATGTCATGCTGTAATTTGTGAACGTATTGCTCAAATTTGTGTTAATGTCATGCTGAAAGTTGTGCTATATATCTTGCTGAGAAGATGTGCTATATCCTCTCAAAATATTGTGTTTCATGTTATTTTATATCCTGCTATAGTGCTATTAAATTGAGGCTTAAGATTTGCTGAAATGGAACATGAAAGTGCAGCCTTATTGCTGTCCAATTGTTTCTCAGCTCTAGTTAACATAGAGTTAACCAAAATGGTAGACATAGGTAACAGAGTAATCTTTTGATGCTATTTTTTTAAAGCTAAATTTTTTCATGCTATGGGTCTATTTGATTGGTATTAAAGCCGACTGATAAGCTGACTAAAGCTATTTTATTACGAGAAAAAATATTATAGATTATAGCTGCCTGGCCAACAGGGTTTTTAAACTTCGTATCTTCTAACGGTACCAATCCAATTTTCCCCGTGAAATATGGCCTGATCAGCCAGAATCCAACACCTCGAAGGCTCGGGACCAAAACATCCTCCGCAAGCCGCGTCGCGACTCGTCCATGTGCCGCGCGATCCCACGGGGCCACGCGCAGAACTCCCGCTCGCCCCCAGATCTGAGCCCTCAGCCCCTTACTCTCTCGCCGCCTCAATCCCGGCATCCGCGCTCCAAACCTAACACGCCGCGCGATCCCAATGCGCAGGTGAGCCGCCCGCCCGCCCGCTCCCACCGGCAATGTCTCCAATTTTTTCGCGACTTTTCTTCCGATCATTTGATTTGGTGTGGTCTGGTCTGGTCGGACCGCGCAGGGGTCTGGGCAGCGAGGCGTCGCTGCGCCGGCGGCGCGGGCCGGCGCGGCTCTGGGTGGCCGTGGCGGCGCTGGTGGTCGGTACCATGTGCCTCCTCTCCTCCTCCTCCGTCGGCCTGTTCGGCGCTTCTTACAGGGTCCAGGTGCGCTTGCCTCGCCCGCGCCTGCTTTCTGGTTTGTACTTCTCGGTTTTCCGTCTGCTGTATGCACTGCCTGGCGTGGGAGGGAAGGCAGAGACGGCATGGTGTGGTTGTTCCTGTTCGCTCGTAAGCAATTTGGAAGCTCTTTACACTGGTTAAGTTAGATGCATGCTACACTGTGTTTGGAAGCTGCTTGAAGTCTCATTAATGGATGCAGATTAGCACATTGGACACAATAAATCTGCATCTCAGATAAGATCAAATCAGATGAAAGTTGCATTGATTCGTAGACAGCGCATGGTTAAAAATTTCGTCAAGTCTTCTTTTTAATATATATCAAACAATGTATTCTTTGCATTAAACTACAACAAGTTGGCAGTTTCAGTGCAAACTGTCCATTTCTCAAGGTGCTGCACAAAATGTGGGCAATATTGCGAAATCCTTGATCGATATTCTGATGATGACATTTCAGCTGGTTGTTTGCATAGATTAAATTTCTTATAAAATAATGAGGCATGGGAACTTAAACTGCAATGCATTTAGTAATTATTGTGATTTGGCATGATGAAGTTGGGCACAAAACACATGCATTTTAGTTGGTAGGGGTGGATCGCCTTCTCTGTGGAAATGGTTAGTTACACTTTGACCAGAACATGATGCCAAGTGGCTCCCTAAGTAGTGTTGCATTTAAAATGTTATACTCAACAGACTGGGAATAATGTAAAAGATAAATGGCCCAATTTATACACTGAGATTTTTGGCGCACCACTTCCTTTTCAGTTCAGATTCATTTGGCGAATAGGCTGAGCTTTGCTAAATGCGTGGAATTGGACTGTAGTACTGAAATTAAATGTATATTCACTAGTTACTTGGATTTTCTATCAGTTATTTCTTGTACTGACATCAGTGCTACTACTCAAGGATGTTGATGTAAATAAGTTATGGAGAACTGCAGATTCAAATGGTTGGAGAGCAACTTCTGCACCACGCACCTACTGGCCTCGTAAGTTTCTCACTGTATCCTAGCGGCAGTTACTGTTCAGTTGCATACCATCTGTAAATGAATATACTGACATGGTATCTCTCTGCTTGCAGCCCCACCAACTGAATCTGAGAGCAATGGCTACTTGCGCGTCCGGTGCAATGGTGGCTTGAACCAACAACGTAGTGCAGTATGATTAAGACAAGAAACTTGTCTTTAAAGCAGCATAATTCATCGTGCAATTTTTTTTATTCATGGTAACATAGCTAAGACATTTAAGATCACTGTTGTTTTGATTCTGTAGATATGTAATGCTGTTGTTGCTGCACGGATCATGAACGCTACACTGGTGCTGCCAGAATTAGACACAAATTCATTCTGGCATGATGAAAGGTATGTATTTGTCTGAAATGGTTTATCTTGCGTATGAGTTACCACAAACCTTTTTTTTTTTGGGTAGATCCTTCTGTCTGTCTTGGGCAAGCGCTCCCTGCACAATTTTTTTTGCAGCAAATGGAAGTAACGTTCTTGTGTTGGTTCAGTCACATATCTGTTGTGTTTTTCTCCAAATACTCTAAGTTGGATTAATTGATTGCTTTTGCCTGATATGTGGGGCTACCATTAGATAGTTAACCTAGTCCAAGTGTTCCATGTAGACGGACATGCTGATTAATGTCCTATAAGTATTGGTCAGGTGATTAGATATAATTAGTGTGTTGCAGTGTTAGAACTTGTTTGGAAATATTAGCTTGAACTCTAGAGTGAGTTTTGCAGTTAAAATCTCAGGCCTGTTTGCTTAAACTTGAGCTATTTCAGCTTTATAACCCAATTTGTACAAACTCATGTGGTCAACAAAAAGACCAAGTGACCAACTTATATTCCTGCTTATATAATCTAGGTTGCCCCAGCTTAATCCTATACGCTGCCCTGGACCAGCTTATTTCAGCATATTTCAGGCTTTTTTTTTCCGTGCCTATAAGCTGGATTATATAAGCTTTGGGGTAAACAAACAGCCCCCTAGTCTAGGAACCGTATGTAGGACATGAGAAACTACCCAGCCTGAAAGTTTGCTCATAAGTTGTAGTACATTGATAAATTTTGAGCTTAAGATGTAAAAAAATGTATTTCTAATTTAAAGCATGCATGGTCGACAATGCAGACATTATCAGATTATAACATCTTGTAGGAGCAGCATGTCATGTATCTACCTGAGTTCGTTAGAAATCCTTTCATGTCTGGGGAACGCCATCATGAAGATGTTACTGTCTAAGATTATAACTATCCGGAGTTGGACTAATTCATATTATATCATATTTTAAGGGCAGCATGTGCTGCATTTACTTGTAATTTCTTGGAAATCCTTATTTTCATAATTGGGAAATGCCATCATGAAGATGTTACTTGATTATTTTCTTGGCCATCTCTGTTTATGTTGAATGATCGCATGTTCATCTGTTGTTGGTGTTTACTTATTTTCTGCATTTATATATGCACCCAGTGGCTTTGTAGGTATTTATGATGTTCCCCACTTCATCAAGACACTGAAATATGATGTTCGAATTGTTATGAGCATTCCTGAAATCACTACAAATGGAAAGACCAAGAAGCTCAAAGGCCATCAGGTGAATAAACTTAAAGGACACTACATCTAGTTATGTTAAATTCGTTTTTTCTATCATCAGAATCTCAATTTTTAGGAGCATGCTATACTCATGGGACAATTCTTTGTCCTCACAGATTCGACCACCTAGAGATGCACCAGTATCTTGGTATGCAACCGTTGCTTTGGAGACAATGAAGAAGTATGGAGCTATATATTTAACTCCATTTTCACACCGTTTGGCAGAAGATATTGATGATCCAGAGCTCCAGAGATTGAGATGCAGGGTGAATTACCATGCACTACGATTCAAGCCACATATCATGAAAACAAGCAGTGAGATAGTGAACAAGCTCCGCTCAGAAGGCCATTTCATGTCAATTCATCTTCGGTTTGAGTTGGATATGCTTGCATTTGCAGGGTAGGGCTTTGACTAAACTATTGTAAAATTATCGCTTGATGCTGAATATGTCACAACCTGCTTATTTTTTGTGTCCATTGATGGGTAAGTCCATCCCTGAAGTCTTTAATCTTCTCAGAGAAGTCTTCACAAGGGCTACCTTGTGTGGAAATGGCAACTCATGCATATATATCGAATTAAGAAAAAGTTATCAACAAATGCAAACCCATTGTCATTAAGCATTCTTTCCATTTTCAGTCTGTGATACTATAATTTTAGAAAACTATTCTTTTTAATTAATTCTAGCTACTCTTGCATATGCACAGTGGATATTACTTGCTGTGTAATTTTTGCTTACCTTACTTCCAAAATGAAAATTGCAGGTGCATTGACATATTCAAACCTCAAGAGCAAAAAATTCTGTTGAAGTACAGGAAAGAACATTTTGCAGAAAAGGAACTTATCCCCATGGAAAGAAGGCGCATGGGAAAGTGCCCTTTAACTCCAGAAGAGGTACCGAATCTCCTTATAAACATTGATCCAGATATTCCTTGAGCATACTTGGAGCTGTGTGTCTAATCAGAAGTTAATGCTTTATTAATTTCCATGGTTGCCTGAACATCATATACCATTCTGTACTCGTAGAATTAAATGAATCCTTTTGATTGATATAAAAATAATAGGGAGCGAAGTTGAAACATATATACGTAGTAGGAAAATTTAGAAAGAATTTAGGAAAGACTTCTTAATAGCTGAACTACCGAAGTAATCCAATATTCTATTTGTATTGTTGTGCAGGTAGGTCTTATTCTACGTGCTATGGGATTTGACAATAGAACACGCATTTACCTTGCTTCTGGTGAGCTCTTTGGTGGGAAACGTTTCATGAAGCCATTCAAGGCTATGTTTCCACGCTTAGAGAACCACAGCACAGTTGGACCTGGAAAGCTGGAAGAGAATACCCAAGGGCTAGCAGGATCAGCAGTTGATTACATGGTTTGTCTCCTGTCTGACATTTTCATACCCACATATGGTGGCCCAAGCAACTTTGCAAACAACCTCATGGGCCATCGTATGTACTATGGTTTCCGGACAACAATCACACCAAACAGAAAGGCCCTTGCCCCAATATTCATTGACAGGATGGAAGGCCGTGGCATTAGCTTTGAGAGAATCAGGAGGGTAATGTTCGACACTCATTTTGGTGGCCCCCACAAGCGCATCCATCCAGAGTCTTTCTACATGAACTCGTGGCCAGAGTGTTTCTGCCAGACGGATGCCAGGAACCAAGCAGACCGGTGCCCCCCTGATAACATAAATCATGTTCTCGAAAGTCAGTTCCAGAGCGAAGAAGAAATGGAAGAAGCAAGAGCCAGTAATCAGACTGAATCATCCAGCCAAATAGAAGAGCCTACGATTTAACTGACCAACTAAGGATTACTGCTCGGAAGGATTTTTGAACACTTGGAATGTTCATCAGAGAGATCCAGATACAACGATCTTCAAGGAATGTATTAATTGATGGCTCCAGCTCACTACGGGATTTGATTAGCTTGAGCGCTTGAGATGCTGAGGTGTGGTATCTGGTGGTATTCAGGGAGAGCATTGAACCAGATTTTGGATAGGTCTGGTCATATAGGGGGTTTTGAGGAGAAAACAGTATGTATGTCAATAGTTTCCTCATTGAAAAGCGAAATGGTGTGAGTTGTGTACGTGGCAGCGACAACAGTTAGAAACCTTTGCGCAATACGGTACAGCCAGTGTTAGGCCCGGTTATGCCCCCGAAAATTTTTTGCACAAACTTTATTAACCTTGTGGCATTAATATAGGCGGAGCGGTCGTAATTTTCGTGTAGTAATTGGTGCTTTCCTGGTACAGCCATCGTTTGATTTCCCATAAGTTATTCGAATTTGTTGAATTGAAATATGTTCAATCTCATTTCCTACGTGATATCTAAAATGTCCTGCTCCAATTTGTATAGTAGAGTAAATTACAGAGGCAGCGATCTCTAAACTCAATTTTTTAAAATAGAGTAAATTATATGGGTGATGTCTAAACTACTTAGATCCTCAAACTATTAAATTGCATATGTTGATCTCAATTCTCAGTCAAATAGTAGTCAGGGTGTACCTCGATATGTTGATCTCAAATCTTAGTCAAATACTCCCTCCGTCCCAAAATAAAAGACGTTTAGGGTGTAAACGATTGATATATATTAAAATATATAAATATTTATGCTAAGTAATTAGTATCATCGAAAAGATCTTTTGTCTAGTTTTTTAACAAATTTATTTGAAGATATAAATATTACACGTAGCCAAAACTCTTAGTAGTTAGGGTGTATTATGTTGGAGTACATGGTAATTCTTCTCGTTTACTACCACTGTCCCAAAAGAAAGATGTTATAGGTTTAGTCAAACTTATAAAAGAAGGTACTGATATTTATGATACTGAATTAGGACCATTCAATTTGTCATTTAATATACTCCCTCCATTTTAAATTATAAGTTATTTTTGGCTTTTTTAGGTACACATCTAGATGGGCTCTGTTCGCTTTTCTAAAAAGCCATGGCCGAAAGTACTGTTCACTAATTTGTTGTGAGAGAAAAACACCGTTCGTTCGCTGAAATAGTACGGCTCATAAGATAAGCGAACAGGGCCATAGTCTATATCTAAATACATAGTAAAAACTTTGTACTCTAAAAAGCTAAAACGATTTCTAATTTAGGACCAATGAAGAAGTATTTCTAAAGTATCTCTATTTGGTGACATTTTTTTATAGACATTCGAATGGTTGCTTCAGATTTGATATATATCAAGAACAACCTCCAAAAATAAAAGTACCAAATCCTTCTTTGATCGTCCATTGCTTGTCGGACACAGTGAAGAAAAGGGACACTTGCAAACACCATCGCGAAACAAGGTTTTGAAAATCGCAAAAGCCACTCGCCGCTAACGAGATTTAGTATCCACTGAAAAGAGACAGGAGGAGCCCCAAAGAACGCAAGCTTACATCAAAACAAATTGTTGAAGATGTCGGACCTTGCTATAGAGTAGACAAAAAAGAGATTGAAATCGTCACATCAAAAACGAAACAACTAACAAGATTTGAAGAGAACCAACAAATCTGACAGAGTATGCTCGGAAGTCAAGTTCAGTGGTGCTATATGGGGTGGTGACAGGATGGCGGAGGGTGATGAAGGGATTTTGGACGGCAGTGAGATAGGGACAGCAGTAGCTAGGGCCAAGGGTAGCAGGTTGCGGAACGAAGGCAAGATGTGGAGCGGAGACATGGGGAAAAACCGATGTGTGCGAGGGTGGGAGGCAGGCAGCGGACACAAGAAAAAGCTAAGCGTTGGCTAGCGTGCGGGCGAGCAAAACATGATAATAAGTAAGGACTAGAACATCATAATTTTTGTTTAGTATAGAAAATAGTAGATAGAAAAGAGATCTATTGACCATCTTTTTTTTAGAATTACATAGTACAACATAGAAGCCCACAACACGCAAGCACGCTCACTCCTTTGAACAGATATACACAAACCCTACCCCTATGAGCACTTCCGAAGAACTGAGTCGGCAAATCTCGAGATTTACGAAGTCACCACATGCGCCTCACTGTCGACGGGGGTCTGAGGCTTCTACAAACTCTTACTTGGCATTTGGGGCTTCGCTCTACTATTTTTGGATTTATATTCAGGCTTCCACTCTAGCAATCAAGGGTAGGTCCAAAATCATGACATCATTTTTCATGACGCCAGAGATTTACCCACGAGTGACCCATTGTCCATTGATATCTTTCCCCCCTTCTGCACCTATTTGTCTCCCATCCAACACCCCTTCCTCCCCTGATCCTCGACACAACTCACCATGGCATCTTTTAGGACTTGTTTGGATGCGTATGTATTTATCTCAATCTACATGTGTTGAAGTGGATTAGAGTGGAATCTACTATACCTAAATAAGAGAACCCCATTAGCATATTTTCCTACGATTTCATGAAGCCACATCATCTGAGGGTGCCACCACTATCAGTCCTTATGCAATTATGCAGCAGCCGAACCATCTCTTCCCACCCGTATTCACAACTCAGGCCCTGTTCGGCTAGTCACATTTGAAAGCTCTAATTTGGTTTTGGTGAATTAATGAAACCCTAAGTGCTAACCTAATTACTCTAAGTGAATATGAGATAGGGTAGCACTATTCCAAGTTGTGAAGCAAATGGTAAAGATCATGTTGATGGTGATGGCCATGGTGATCAAGTGCTCGGGCTTGGAAAAGAAGAAAGAGAAAAACAAAAAGCTCAAGGCAAAGGTGATATCCATAGGAGCTTTTGTGTTTTGGTGATCAAGACACTTAGCGAGTGAGATCACATTTAGGATAGATATCCGTACCATTAAGAGGGGTGAAACTCGTATCAAAATACGGTTATCAAAGTGCCACTAGATGTTCTAACTCATTGCATACGCATTTAGATTCTAGTGAGTGCTAACACCCTTGAAAATGTTTGTGAAAATATGCTAACACACATGCACAAGGTGATATATACTTTAGGGATGAAAACGGTCGGGAACGGTCGGGAAAATGTCTTAACCATTCCTGCAATTTTTTGGCCGGTGGAATTGGGAAGGCGGACGGAAAACGAATCCGGTATTACGGGATATCGAACGGAATATTTCAACGGCGTCGACCGATCGGGAAGCGGTAATACAAAACGAAAACATCGATATATGTAACCACCGGCTGAGCTCGATGCAACAATAGCAACCATGCATAATCCATATGCATACAATAGCAAATAGTGAGCTCGTCGTAATATTTATGCAAAGAAAACTAAAGAACTACCAAAAAGAAAATGAAAAAGAAAAATGAACAAAAGGCTTGTCGCTCCTGTGCTCCATGCCTCCATGCGTGAATTCACAGGCCAATGGGCCAAGCATGGAATGATGGGCGCATGCATGACTCATTTGCCTCCTCTCTTCTGGGCCAAACCTTGCTTCTCGGCCAAACTTTGCTTCTGGGCCAAAATTGCTGCTCCATGGGAAAACGGAATTTCCAGCGGAGTTTTCCGGACAAATCACGGATCCGCTAATTCGGTCGGAAATCACTCTAACCGATTTCGATCGGGATTCGCGAAATTTTCCCGGTTCTTCCCGAATCCGTTTTTTTCAGAAAATGATATCCGGTCGGGAATTTATTGGACCACGTTTTCCGCTCCGCTTTCATCCCTAATATACTTGGTGGTTGGCACATTTAAGCAAGGGTGGTGAAGTTGGAGATCAAAAGGAGTTGAAACAGGGCGTCGGACCCTGCTTCACTGAGCGTCGGACTGGCCCCTACCTGGGTCCGATGGCTAACCCTAACGCACGCACAGAGAGAAGGTGGCGTCGGACCAGGGCTCACGGGGTCATCGCACCGACCATGTGCACTGTTCATTCAGTGCAGCGCGTGCGAGTGAGTGCGGGCGCGACACGTGTCAGCGTCGGACCGTGGCTTGGGTCTGACGGTGGGCGTCGGACCAGGGTCTGAGGGTTTTTACCCTCTCTGGACCTTATTGGACCGCGTTGGACCCTCCTGTGTGGAGTCTCGATGGCAGGTCCAACGGCCTCGGTCCGACGATGGTGATCAACACGTGGAAGGCGACCGTTGGCGGCAATAGTTGATTCCATCCAAACGAGACACGTGGCAGCTCGTGAGTGGACATGGCAGGGCGTCGAACCCTACGTCAGATGTTCTGATGGCCCCGTGCAGCTGGGTCCGACGGTCACATGTGACCCATCGGCTCTATTTCGAGTGGGCTTCTATTTAAGCCCCATGGCCGGCTCTAGCTCATTCTCTTGGTCATTTTCATTGACATAGCAATCCAGTGAGCTGAGCTAAAGCCCTTTCACTCATCTCCATCTTTGACTCATCATCTTTGTGAGATTAGGAGTGAATCCAAGTGCATTGCTTGAGTGATTGCATCTAGAGGCACTTGGTGATTGTGTTTCGCTGCGGATTTCGCTTGTTTCTCTTGGTGGTTGCCGCCACCTAGACAGCTTGGTGCAGCGAGGATTGTCGAGCGGAGGAAGGTGATTGTCTTCGGCTCCGATCGTGGTGATTGTGAGGGGTTCTTGACCTTTCCCCGGCAGAGAGCAAAAGGTACTCTAGTGGATTGCTCGTGGCTTGTGTGATCCTTATCTCGTGTTGGTTGTGCGGCACCCGATTGCGGGTTAGACGTGTGATGCCTATTAGCGCGTGAACCTCCAAGTGAGTGTATCACCACAACGGGGACTAGCTTGCTGGCAAAGAAGTGAACCTCGGTGAAAAATCATTGTGTCATCTTGTCTTCGAGGATTTCTTTGGTATTCATTGATATATTGTGATTGATCACTTGCCATGGTGGTATAACCCTCCTACCTCTCTTGTGCATTTACTTTTTT